TGCTCACCTCGGGCAGGTTAGAAACTCAATGTTTTGCTCAGAAACTCTACAGTCAGCAGGCTGAAGTGCTGCAGGAGCTGAAACTCTCTAACCTCCTACTCGTTCTGCATCTTCCCCGAACAAAAGCAGAATTTCTGAAAGCAGATATTTGTCAGACTGCGTGTTTCTCATTCTGTTGCTCTACAGTTGGTTAACTACAGGCTGCAGCAGGACTGATTTTTAAACAAGCACAGACTCGGGGAAAATGTAATAAATGTGATGTGGTGTTTGGTTGCTCTCAAGTGACAGTTTCACTTGTATTGTAAAATGCTTGCATGCACAGGCAATTTTGCACACACGCGGCAAGTATAGTGTGGATGTTCGTGAGCACACTTGCACACACACACACATGCATCCTGAGGAGTGTGTGAGCTGTACAACTGGGTGTTGAAAATGCTTGTCTGCCTGCAAGTCTTAGCAGAGAAGCAAGAAATCAATGTACTTTTTGGAAAGTTTTCTCACAGGGGAATAAACATATGACTTTTAGATTTTGAGGAATAAATATAGATATGTAATGATTGTGCACTATGACTGAAACGCAAAAACGTGTCGGTGTCATAGATCAGATGTGTTGTGCCTTCCTCACTATGCAAAATCAATAATTGAACCACTCAAAGGTGAAATGTATAATGATATAATCCGATAATCCATACAGATGGGTTTCATTTTATAAATATATTTTTACATTAGCACAGCGGGTGCTTTTAATTATAATTTCCTATCTAACCTCTATGGGTATTTAAAGGTTTAGTGTGCAGTATTAAGGATGATCTATATGCAAAAATGTAATATAATTTTCCTAATAGGTTTTCACTAGTGTATCGTCTCCTAAAACTAAGAATGAACATGTTCTTATTAGCTTAGAACAAGCACAGGTAGATACATCTCACACACTGGACCATTAATCAGTCCATCATTTCTCTATAAAACCCTCACTTATATGTTATTGTGCACTACAGTCGAGTGGTATCTAAATGAGCAGAAATACAGTATGTGTGAACAGAAATATAATTTATAACTTGGAATAAATTGGAAAACTGAATCTGAATAGCAGAATTGAAAATGTCATGTATTAGTATGGAACTGAATGTGATCTTATGAGATGAATTATGAATTTGGTTGCTTCGATAGTGTATTGATCCTCCTGTAATTCAACTAAACACTTCTGCAGTCATCTAAACTCCCACAAAGGTAGGCCAGGGTATTGTTTTCTCTTCAGTGAACATGATGTTAGCCGGGCTAGCGTTATGTTAGCTTTGTGTCCTGTTGCGTTAGCTTGATCTGCCAGCAGCTGTCAGGTTAGCTGACATTGCAAACAAGCACGCCAAGAATGCAAATATAATTTGTTCTCTGTAATATATGTCACCACAAGCAGTTTTCACACAGGAGGAAAGCAGCTTATGTTCAAGGTAACGCCAACAGCCAATGTTCAAGGTATAACAGAAACATAATGTGACAAATTACTGCACCGAGGGAGTCATAAGTAGAGCTGGTGGTGTTACTTTTCAAATGATTAGCCTACAGTTAGGAGGAAGATGTGCCAGTGTGCGGTGAAGTGAAGTGTGCAGCAGATTCCTGGCATGGCCTCCTAAACTTTCACATCCCCCTCTGAACTTACACTGAACTTCTCTCTTTTTCTTCCTGACGCTAAGTCATTTTTCTTTTAGAAAGTATTGATCTTTCTCTCCCTGGTGCAGCTATGAATAAATCACCAGAAAGTGACAGAGAGAGGCTGCTGTGTCTGGCAGATGCTAAAGGACTGAGGAAGAGGAGCTGGAGGAGGCTGACTTTCAGCTGGCCTGTTTGAAACACGGGACGCCAGGTCGCTATCACAGCTGCTGAGTTGGCCTGGAACAATGGAGAAAAAAAAAATGACAGAATTTGTGGATTTATTCCTGAATGTGTGTCTAAAAAAAAACTAAAAAAACAGGGATAAATCAAGTCATGTAACCCAACTTCGAGTGTATGTGACAGCATCAACAGTACCTTTGAGTTCACTTTCCATCAAATGTGTTTATTTACTATTTTTCAATTCATTTGCAAGATGTGATGTTGATCTTATATTTGAAATAAATCAACCTCACATCTTGCAGTATATTAATAATGCATGTCAAGATCTTTAATTTCATTACTGATGTACTGTACACATGTGATTGCAAACGTAGAAACTGTACGCCCGCTTACATACAAAATATATTATTAGCGTAAAGGACAATAAAGAAACAAATTAAATAGCCAGCTAGAATAGAGAAAATTGGGTTTTTGGAATAAGAATATCAGAAAATATTATGCACAAATAAACATGCATTCTGTTCACGTTACCCTTTTCCAAGAAAACCAATTTCGAAGTCTGCCAGTGTTGTTCGGCTGTAGCTCTGCAGCTGTTAGCATCTGTTGCAGCATCTGGTAAGAACGAGTCTCTCACTCTTCCTCTGCCCTCCCTTTCCGCTCACCTATGACCCTACGTATACACTCTGTGCATCTAATCACCACCACAGAGTGTTCAAAATAAAATTGCATGAAAAATATAAACAAATTATATAACATGCCAACAACATAGATGTCAATGTGTTTTTTAATTAGATTAACAACCACACATGTTTCCACATAGCTACTTAATTTAGGTGTCAATCAACTGGTGCCAAAAAATTTTTACTTTTTGAGTCATAAGCAATTATATTTTTGTAATACAAATGCAACTTCAGGTTACTTTACTGAATATGCACGATACAACGTACTCTGGTTGTGCCATTTCCTAAAAGAGGACATCTTTTGCAAAAGGCTGATTTAGCATTAGTGTGTTTAGCGTCAGAGTTTTTTCTTCAGGCTCTTTCGTCAGGGTCAGTGGTGTATTTCATCACCCCCCCCCCACCCCCCACCCCCCCACCCCTTCACTCCATCAGTGAGGTGGATTTACGTTTGTGCCGAGTAAGCACTTCCCCAACCACACCCCGCCAAATCAAATGTCACACCATCTCCTGGGGTATTAATCACACACACACAAACACACACACAGAAAAAGTCAGGAAAAGAGAGGAAAGGTCACTTCCTGAGCTGTTTCTCACTCTTAACAGTATCCCTCTTCCTCTTTGAACTCCTTTGTGAGTAAGGTTCTTAGTCCATGTTTGTAATTAAAGACACGCTTTACTAGGTTAGTCCTTAAAAAGTCATCCTGTGCATTGCTCAAACCCAAATAACTACATTTCAAAATGTTTTCAGACATTTCTCAACAGGGCCATAACTTTATTGAAGATAAATCATTGAATTTGGCTTGAAGTGGACATATTAAGCTACATTTCAGGTTCATATTTATTTCCCCCTGTCTGAAACCAGAGCCCAGTCTGCTCTGATTGGTTAAATGGCCGGCTCTGTTGTGATTGGTCATTACAGTACTGTACATGTCATTTGTTAGACTCTCTTATCTAAAGCGACTTACATACATTCAGTACTGTGGACAATCCCCACAGGAGCAATTTGGGGTGAAGTGTCTTGCCCAGGGACACAACGACATGCTGATTCGAAGTCCAGCACACTATCCACTGAGCCACAGCCTCCCTATGGTGGATATGCTGCCAACCAGTTAGAGATGTCCCGCCCCTAAGTATATCACATACAAACGAAGCACTAGTGTTACATAGTGATTTCATTATGCTACGATGTTACCGAAGTAAATAATGGAGTCCAATTGAAGAGTTTCAGGCAAGGGAAACTCCCTCTGGAGGAGACACAGGTATTTAAGCCTTTGCAGACCATTTACATGCACAAAAACCTATATAACACACTACAGGAAAGAGAAACCCCCAAAAGCGTATCTTTAAATAAATTAAACTGTGTGTAATAACCATATTTTTAAGAGATATGGAACCTTTCCTTTTGATGAAATGGTGCAGCCATAGAAAACATGGATCTTGGGTTTGGGTATTTCTCTCAGTTCTAAAATGATAGTGGAAAACTGGATGTGATTGAGAGGCACAAGTCTGCAGCAAAAAGATGAGACACACGTGGGTCGAGTGTCTTTCAAAAGCAGCCATTTTAATCCAAACAACCACTTAATGACTTGAACTGATGTACACAAACAGACATGACCTTTTACTGTTCGTTTTTCATTTATTTTTATTTTACCAGGATCTCATTGAGATTAAAAATCCCTTTTTTAAGAGAGTCCTGGCCCAAGATATAGGTAGCAGATAGGTAACATTAATAGAAATGTGGATTGGTGTTGATATACAGAATATACATTAAAAGTAGGGCAACATAAATAAATGAAAAAGTGAATTTATAAAAAGGCATCCAGAAATGTATGGACCGTTTCAGTTGAAGACATTCACAATTGACCATTCTTAAAACAGGATAAATCACATCAAACATACAAAAACTGTATACTGTTTACTTTGTATTTTCTCTAAATTCATTGCATGTTGTTTTTTTTTGTCATTCCTATTTTTATGGTTGTTTGAAATGTTTTCTTAACCCTCCTATTGTCTTCGTTAAAAACCATTAATCACCAAATTTCATTTAACACCCTTTCAAACTGTAAATATTGTATCAGACTACTAGTATACATGAAAAACTGCACTAAATATACAAAGAATAGACACTGAACATGTATTGCGTGTGCCAGGTGTGATCCATGTGGGGGGATGGGGCACATAAGAGCGGGAAATGTGTCAAATTGTTCTGTGTGTGTGTGTTTGTGTGTGCCAGGTGTGATTCACATGGGGGGATGGGCACATAAGGGGGGGAACACATCTAGAGTATGTGTGTGTGTGTTTGTGTGTGTGTGTGTGTGTGTGTGTTTTATCTGATCCGGATGGTTACTAATTCCTTTTCTTTATGGCGGTCATTTTTGACCGGGAACACCATGGGTGTTACAAAGTTGACTAAATCATCCAAAATGCAATGAAAGTGGTGATCAGCCGTTTTATATGTTCAAATGTCTTCTGTGAAGGATATCATAAAGCCTTAATGCAATCTAATGTAAAACAAAAAAGTTATGATTGATGAAAGTAGTAAATAGGTCAGATTTGACCCGAAGACAACAGGAGGGTTAAAGTGTATTTAGAAAAACGCTTTATACATTAAATTAAATATTATCATCTTTATAAGTGCCTATTTGGCTTTTTTTTTTATTGTGCATATACCAAAGTATTAGACGAATAACAATTCTGACTTGATGGTACTGGAGTTAAAAAATGAATAGCATTATAATTCATCCTCTGGGATCGGGAACGATTATTCAAATGTTTCCAGGAGCTGTTGAGACATTTCAGTCGTGACTAAAGTGGTTTAACATAGCTAAAAATATTTCCTGATAGGATGTTAACCCACTATAGAGAAAGACAGAAGACGGAGACTAATGGACAGCAAGGCTGAAGACGCTCAGACAAAAACTAATCTCATCCGTCTGCACAGGTCAGATTTCAGTCAGGAAATGGGTTTCTTTCTCTCTTCATTCTTCATCGATTCTTCTTTCTCTTTCACCTTGTCTTGTTATTTCCATCACTCCCTCCTTCACTTGGATGAATGAATGGATAGAAAAAAGAAAAAAAAACAAGGCGCAGTCTTCCTGAAGATATTTGTTTCCCGCTATGAAGAAAAACACTCTAGCAAAGAGAACAAAAATAAGAAAAATAAGTTAGAAGCTTTTCCCTCTTTTGTTGGACACAAATGGTACTCAAGAACTAACATCATAATCTTGAGATGTGTCTTTTTTGGTGGATTTGGTAACTCAAAGTAAATGCTGGTGACACTTAACATTTGTGTATAATATATTCCTAAAACGGGGAATAAGCCAACGACAAAATCACTAATATCTTCTATATTATTAATGCATATTTGTCCTGAGAATCCCAAGCATTGTTCACGGGAATGAAGAGCTACTTTTTACTACTGCTTATTTTAAAATGTGGCATTTATCTTAAACATGACAGCAGAAAATATGTATACTACGTTAAGTTTCTGTAATGTTTTTATCCGAAGTTTGCCATATGTGAGGGAGGCTGTGGCGCAGTGGACTAGTGCGTCGGTGTTTGGATCAGGGGGGCACAGGTTCAAACCCCACTGCAGTCAGCATGTCGTTGTGTCCCTAAGACACTTCACCCCAAATTGCTCCTGTGGGGATTGCCCACAGTATTGAGTCTGTAAGTCGCTTTGGATAAAAGCATCTAACAAGTGACATGTAATGTAATGTAATATGTATACCTGTTGCCATCTGTGTGTTAAGTTACTATGTGTTTCTATGTGAACATACAGTAGGTTGTACACCAGCTGGCAAAACAAAAATCCCCCTGTAGGTTTAAATATCCTATTTCTAGGAATTAAAGTGGTTTAAAGGTCAAAGATGGGTTCAGGTAACAGTAAAACAGGAAAATGTGTTGTCTGGGGATGCAAAATGATTGAAAGAGAAGGATGAAAGGAATATAAAAAGGTTAGAAAAGTGTCAAAATAACTATAATTTCACGGGAAGACTCGGGGTAGAGGAATGTGAGAATTTGAAGTCCGCTGCAACTCTGACTACTTTTAAATCCAGGCTGGAGTCTTTTCTTTTTGAAGCTACTTTTAATTGAACTATTCACATCTCACACTGCACTGTAACTTTTATTCATGTACCTGTATTATTCATGTTTTATTATCTTGGCTTTTTAATGTTTCTAATGTGTTTTATGATCTAAATTCTGGAATAGCCTCCCAACTGAGATACGGGATTGTCCCACTCAATAGCTTCAAAGGTCAAGTCAAAGAATGGTTGAGAAACAAACATCCGTGCAATCACCGCTAAATGCACTTTAACACAGGCGTATCTCCTCTTGCACTTTAGGTAGCTCTGGTATCTTCTATGTCGTTGCTGCTATATTGTACTGCCATGTCATAAATACTTGTGTATGCTGCTCTTGCTCTCTTGCACTTTTTGCATATCATGTATTTTGTTTTTGCTATGTTTGTAAAATGTAATTTTCTTAAATGTTTTATGTGAGGGACTGCGGATGGAAATTAGCTCAAAGCTAAATCTGGCACTGTTACGCTTGACACATTTTTTATGTTTTAAGTGTTCATCACTGTGCATTGTCCCTGCCAAATAAACGATTAATTAATTAATTAAATTAAATTAATGTCTTTCATTTTTCTAAAGCACTTTGAATTGCCTTGTGTTGAAAAGTGCTATATAAATAAACTTGCCTTGCCTGTGACAGTCAATCAACATCTTAATCTAAAATCTTTGCAAAAAGGTAATTGAGCATTCTCACCTGAGCAGATGTCGTTGAGTTCGTTGACTTCTTCCTGTACTTTGAGGAGGAGAACGTCCTGCAGGATCTCCTGCTGCTGCTCCTCAGCCTCCACCCCGAGGAGCTCCAGGTGATGGTCCTTCAGCCTCAGCAACACCCGGCCTGGAAGAGAGCGTTCATTCATTCATAAACTGGATGTGTGTGTACAGTACAATCAAATCTCTCTACAAACAAATTCTGTCTAAAAAAGTCTGAACAATTCTCACTTTTTCTCAAAATTATGATTTTTTTCTCAAAATTCAGACCTTTTTCTCAAAATCCTGACTTTTTCTCAAAATCTCAAAATCCTGACTTTTTCTCAAAATCTCAAAATCATGACTTTTTCTCAAAATTCGGACTTTATCTCAAAATCTCAATATTCTTACTTTCTCTCAAAATTCTTACTTTTTCTCAAAATCCTGACTTTTTCTTAAAATCTAAAAAGTCTGACTTTTTCTCTAAATCTCAAAATTCTGACTTTTTCTTAAAATCTCAAAATCCTGACTTTTTCTAAATACTTAAAAATGTTAATGATCACTCGTCTCCGGCTTGAGCTTCAATCTCAGGATCCATGTATTTCTGATCCTCTCCAGAATGGAAGTAGTCATCACATACAGAGCATCAACTAGTTCCTGAACAGTGTCCTTCACATGCTGATATCCAAGAGAGGGAGTTACACAGTCACAAGATGGAGGAATAGAAAGCAGTATTCAATGTTTAGTTCAGATTAGCTCCACGTCAGAAATGATCATGCTTGTCATATGTCTATCTCCATAGAGGCTGAATCATCATGTTAATCACATAGCTATCATATGCCTAAAACAGTCCTGATGCTCTTCTAGGTAATCATACATCCTGTCATGTACACAGCTACAGTTGGGATACCTTTGTTATCATGTGGACTCTGAGATTGGATGATTACATTCAGTATTCTCCCAACAGATCTTATCTTCTATTAATTGTGCAAATAAAGCAGGTTGAGTTTGATGCATGACTTGATACCTGATATGGCGTGTTTAATTATGGCTTTTTGGAGCGTGTCCATCTTGGCCGGGTGATAACCCTGCATCCACTCCAACACTTCTTCCACCGACCACGATGACACGCGCTTTGACAGGCCCATCACTCTGCAACACAGCAGGAGGATAAGATCAACATGTTAACTTGTTTACTACAAAACGGCAAATTTACGTTTGGCCATTTGATGGATAAGAAACATAAGCTGTCAGATATGAAATACTTCAATTACAAAAATATTTGAAAGAAGTATTTTTGTAACCATCTATCATAGCTTTCTCACTTCATGATTCAACAATGGCCTAATGTACTTACAGCAGATAAAGCCTGAGGTGAAATAAACAGGGTAAAATAATTAGTTTGAGGTTTGCAACAATACTGGCATAAAGCTGCAAACGCCAAAGATTACTTCATTAATATAATAATTTGAAATAAGTCACTTAATATTCTTTTCTATTCTTCATGCTTAACATTCAAAGTGAAACTTAAAGACACATCACTTATTGTGTGCCAGGCTGCAATTAAGTGTTATTTGTAAGCAATTAATCACTCAATATTTGTTTTGTTTTTTTAAACAGAACTGAAGAAATAGCGGGAGAAAACATTCTGTAAGAGCAATAGTTTAAAATCCAAATGTGTTTCATGTAAAATTGTCATTAACATCTTTAAAGATTTGACAGAAAAAAAATTCCAGAAGAAAATAAATAACACAGCCACATGATCTCAACAGAAATAAGTACAGTTTGTTATTTAAATAAGGACTGCTTGTGCTGTGTACAAACGTGAAAAGTGTTCCTGTGATTATTGAAGTTCACCTCACCAGAGTTTAAGTAGAATTGTATCACATTGAACAAGCAGTTGTCCCTCTGCAGGATCTTAAGGGGCCTACACACCAAACTGACACCAAAGAACACGTCCCGACGGAACACGACTGTTGTGTCGCCTCACGTCTCCTGCGTCTTGGCCAACAGTCGCACTGGAATACACCGCAAAGACTTCAGCTGACGGCCAAGTAGCACGTACGAACTGTGCATGCGTGAGTGGCAATAACTCTCCTTACCAGCAGGCGGCGGTTTTGCGGTATGTGCGGTTTTGCCCAGGGCGCATTAGCCGAGGACATTGTTTTCTATTGTCCCTCAAACGTAAGGAAATGTCAACACTTGAGATTAAATGGCCTTACCAAGATGGTGACAAATATCTCGTTGAGGGATCCCTCAGAGCTGAAAATAGCAGCAAGGTGACATCCACCAACTACGACACCAAACAAGGTCAGAAAAGTTCTCCCAAAAAGTTTCTTTAGCCTGCGGTTCTTCTGGTTTTCCTCCCAGCTATATCCTCCTGGGCTGCACCGCTATAGGGCGAAAAACTGCTCAACTGTTGATGTGACCTTTTCAGCAGACCAGTCTGGTTATTGGGGTATAAATATAGGAATGTAATTTCCTGTGTTAATTAAGGGGGATGCGTGATTGGCTGGTGCAATAACGAGGTCCCAGCAGAGTAATTGACATACAGACGGTGAAGACCTTTACACCGGGGCAAAGACACGGAGGAAACTTACAACTAGAGTCAGGTCGAGTGTAAAGGAGGAAATCTCACGGCTGATTTTATGCCTATGGACAGCATTTCCTAAACTATATGACTCCCAAACTGGGCTGATATCTTCAGGGAAATAAAGTGGATGTGTATAGCCTCTTGTCTTGCTCTGAAGCATTCATTTATGTCACCCAGTTACAAGTAAACCAGGACTTGTAAACAGAAGTAATATACGGGAACAAGAAAGGTGTGGAAATTGGCTTTTTGAAGGTGATTTTACCATCCTGTACTATAACTGCAACTTATTAATTAATGTCCACAACTTAATCCAAATGGATGTGTTTAAATCTTTATGAAACACACGCCTGCTGCCCGGGCTACACCTACACTTTGAACGTTTTATTGAGCTTTAGGGTAGCGATGTTGAAGTGAATTTTTGGGCAGCTATTCAGGTTTGACTTGGCATCTTGATTTAATATATATAGCAACAGGAACTGTATTACAAGTATTATGTAGAGAAGTGGTACCAGGTAGGTGTTTTAAACAGAAAGCAGTGCATTAATATCACTCTTGGTGATTTGAAAAACCTTTTAAAACATATTTCCACAAACTTAAAAATATGTTACATGGATGGATGTTTTCTAAAGCAGAAATGGGTGTATTTAGATTTGTCTTATATCATATTTAATATATAATGCCTGAGCTTCAGTGTTAGTAGAAAGAAAAAAAAAATTCTGATACCATAGTTGAGGAATTTAAACATTTCTATCTCAAACACTAATTTCATAAATAAAAAAGAGGCCAAATTCTAAAAAGTTAAGGGTGAAATGTTGCCTAAACACAAACAGTCATACAATGTACATTAATCACAGTCTGAATCAAGATGTAATCCTGAACATGTCTTAACAAAAGACAAAATAAAGAACCACCAGAGTTCACATGGGAACCAAAACCAGACGCAATGTTCCAACAGGACACAGATTCAAGATGCATCCTACATGCTTCCTAAAGTGTGATTCTACCATCTTGTGGTGCCTTGCAGAATTACTTTAATCTCTTGAACAAGCCTTAAAATGTTACAGTTGAGTAGTACAAGTTCAGAGACTTCATCTTTTTTTGCAGCCTTTCTTAGCCTGATGCAATCTGGATTTGATGCACTCGTTCTACAATGGCAGCAAGTTAGGGCTGATTTGTATGCTAATAAGTGTTTAAAGCATGAATTCATTAAAAGAGGACTATTTAAGAATATATTAAGAGTTGTGTATAAGCTTATAAACTCGTCATTCATCACTTCATTGAAAACTGCCCTTATACACACACACACTTCGTTCAATGTTGATTTAAAAAATATAACATGTGGTTGAAAATGTTGGCATTTCGACCAAATAAGGTGTTTTCTTAAAATACAGAGAAATGCCGAATTGAAGCAGTTACTCTGACGCAGTTTTCCATCTGTTCTGGTAAATGAAGCCTGGTGAAAATGTAATAAATATGAATGTAATTTGGCGTGTTGCCCGAGTACGTGGGAAGAGATACGGCCCGCACACAGAGGGATTACAGTCACCCATCAACTGCATTTCATAACACCAAACATCCTTAACAGCAGGTGAAACTAAACGCTCAAGTCTTTACAAACTTTAAGTAGGTTTTTCTGAGTAGAAAGTTATATTTACCTTCAGTCAGTTGTCTGTTTTTGACAGAATATTCCTCTACCTGTTGAAGTGTAACGTTCAGGTAACACAAAAAACATTCCTTTTCCCGGATCCGCCCACTAAGGTGCAGCTGCACGTGATGCCTTCAGTGCCGTCAGGAATATCTGAATTGCACGTGCATCATAACGAATTCCCCTTTCAATACTGTAGCTTTGTAGCTTTAAGTCCCTAAGAAACTCTTCCATCCTTCATTCCGGTGTAAGTTTTTCATTATTGGAGTCATTTAATTACAAATAAATCCAACAGGGCCTAAGAAACGTTTCACCTTGAGGGCCTTACCAACTCACTTTTGTTGTGAATTGGTGTTAGTGGTACATATAAGGCTACTTGCTACACAGTACACTACTTTTCTCTTGAAGGTGTGATTTATAATAAAAAATGTATACAATAAAAATTAAGAACTAGAATATTGGAGCTGTTTATGTAAAACTTGACTAATATTCTTCTATATTGATTGGTGTTGATGGGCTCATGAAGGCACCACCAAATTAGGTCAGTAGTCCTAATAGTTTATGTTAAGGCCAAATACTGATATGTGTGTCCCTTTCCTTTTTCCAGTTTCTGTTTCAAGTTCCCTTTAAAACCTTTTCAGATAGTGTTACGTTCCCTACTGGGCTAGGGGAACCAGAGGGAAGTAACAACATATGAAATAACCAGGAGAGAGAAAAAAGGAGAGGAAACTGAGCTATAAAGCCACAAAGTGAGGTTTTAATGGATAAAGAAAAAGGGCTCACCAGCCTACTTGCAAAGCAAACCAAAATAAACAATACACGAACAAACTGGAGCACATCTCCTAACACTTCACAAAAACACAGGCCTCACACAGAGACAGAGACATGCTGCACACATGCAGCCAGAGGAGAAGGAGAGAGCGACTGCAGCCTTCCTCAGGTCCTATATGGAGGCCCTGATTGGGGATTGGGAGCACCTGGGGAGAGGCTGCACCTGGGGAGAGGCTGCACCTGGGGAGAGGCTGCACCTGGGGAGAGGCTGCACCTGGGGAGAGGCTGCACCTGGGGAGAGGCTGCACCTGGGGAGAGGCTGCACCTGGGGAGAGGCTGCACCTGGGGACAACCAGAGGGAGAGAGAGACACACACACAAACACTACGGCACATAACACCCCCCCCCCATAAAACACACGTTATACCGCTCACAAGCAGCCAACACGGGCCCAACACACACATCACTCGCTTAATAGTTTTGAACAACATGCCAAATTGGGGATCAACTACACCCCCACCATGCATGACGGCGCACTTCACCGACCCAGTTTCAGGTGCAGGGTCATAGTGGGGGGCGTGCCCTTCCCAGAAGCCAGGGGTTGGAGTGAGAAGGCAGCCCGCCGGCTGGCAGCAGAGGAAGCTGTAAAGGTATTTTATAAGTGCAGCGAGGTGAGCCAGGTTCAACACACATCACTCACCGAACACAGATCCACATCGCTCTGAGCCAGGTCCACAGCCACCACTTCAGAAACGGGAACACCCACAGCACTGTCACAGACGAACGCAGAAATTAACCGCAACTCACCACTCTGTCGCATTGCAAGTGGGTGCTGGTCTCTTGGCTTTTCGACAGACCGCTTGGAAGCTGCCACCTGCTTCTTCTGAGCTATACACTCTGCCACTAGATGACCAGGGTCAAGACAAAAGAAACACAATCTCTTTTTCTTGGGTCCTGGAAGAGAAACAGAATGAGCATGTGTGGCACGCCTGTTACAAGCTTTCCAGAAACCAACACGATGAGGAGAATCGCTCTGAGCCAAAACACCACTGTGCATTAGCACCAGCTCATCCGCCATGGAGGCAGCCTGCTGCAAGGAGGTTATTTTTCGTTCATTTAAAACAGTATGTTCTGGGAGACAGTTTTTAAACTCCTCCAGCACTATGAGATCACAAACTGAAGTTAAGTCGTCAACCTTTGATGCCTTACACCATCGGTTGAATAGCTTGCTCTTCTCCATTGCAAAGTCTACAAAAGTTTGGCCAGGTGTTTTCTTTAGGCCACGAAAACGCTGTCTATAAGCCTCAGGCTCAAGCTCATACACTTTAAGAATAGCGCATTTAACTTTTTCGTACACAATACAATCTTCAACAGGAAGAGAAGAGCAAACCATCTTAGCCTTACCAACTAACTTGCACTGTAACAGTATGGCCCACACATCTTTGGGCCATTGCAAAGCAGCAGCAATGCGCTCAAACACAACAAAGTATGACTCAACTTCAGACTCACGAAATACTGGAACCAGCTGAATATTGTTACCAACATCAAAAGGAGCATCAGAACCTGACAATGGTTGTGTACCCGAAGAGGACCCCACTGAACCTGTCTGCAGCTCTAGGTGACGCATCCTGAAAGCTGTGTCTGCATCTAATGGCGCGTTTCCACTACACGGCCTCGCTCGGCCCCGCTCGGCCTCCTTTGGCCGCGCCCAGCCTCGTTAGGACCAGCTCACTTTGTGGCGCGTTTCCATTACAGTTTAGGAACCGGGTTAGTATCTATAGTAACGCAGTGTAGGCGGAGCGACGCTGCTTAAAACTGCCGTGACGTCATCTTCAATGCGACAAAGCGACACAACAATGGAGGATGTGGAAAAGATCGTTTGCTTGTTGCTTGCTGTGTGGTTCTTTATCACAAGAAATAGGCAAGAGATGTTTCGAAAGAGGCGACTTGTAGCAAGACGAGGTATAGAGGAAGCTGACGCGAGAGTTCTGGCAGCCCGCAGAGACTACAGGAGGACTCGAACTACTACTTCTTCGAGACTACAATGCTACTTGGTAAGCTAACGTTCGCTAACTAGCAATGTGTTTAGGCTCACGCTCCCCATACGACCAAAGTATTTCAAGTATTTAATTAATTGTAGCTACCACTTTTACGTATTAAAATATGTATGCTTTTGTTTGTGTATTTCAGAAGTTACTTCGCCGCCCTAGACCATGTGTTTGGATGCTCGACCGAGCTACCGAGTGGTGGAATGTGATTGTTCCATCTTTCACACACACACTCAGTGGGTGGAGAACTTCAGGATGTCTGAAGAAACCTACGTCTACCTGTGCAACAAACTGCGGCCAGCGATGGAGAGACAGGACACACCATTCCGTGTGTGTATACCTTTTAAGAAGAGAGTGGCCATCGCACTGTGGAAGCTTGCTACCGGCTCAGAGTACAGAAGCATAGGACATCTTTTCGGAGTGAGCAAGACAACTGTGTGCCGGTGTGTGCAAGACTTCTGTGCTGCTGCAGAGACGTTGTTAGTACCGGAACTAATTCGTTCACCAGACCGGGAGAAATTTGCAGAAATGGCTGCCTACACTGAGAACAGGTGGGGGCTCCCTCAGTGTGTAGGTGCTATTGATGGGTCACACACACCCATCTTGGCACCACAGGAATACCACTGTGACTATTTCAACCGTAAAGGCTGGCACTCCATCATCCTTCAAGGAGTTGTTGATGGTAAGGGACATTTCTGGAATGTGTTTGCAGGAATGCCTGGGAGCTTGCATGACGCTCGGGTTTTGAGACTGTCCACATTGTGGGAGTTGGCCAGTCGTGGCAACTACTTTCCAGCTTGCACCAGGAACATTGGTGGGGTGAATGCTGGCTATTACATCCTGGGAGACAATGCCTATCCCTTGCAAAACTGGCTCATAAAACCCTTCGCTGACACTGGACGGCTAACAGAAGAACATGTGACATACAACAAGAAGATTTGCAGTAGACTGAAGGGAAGGTGGCGTTGCCTCATGAAAAGAAATGACTGTAATGTGAAACTTGTTAAATCAATGGTGCTGACATGCTGTGCTCTGCATAACCTCTGCGAGAGTCATGGAGAGACCTATGATGATGGGTGGGATGCACCAGCAGCAGCAGAGCCAGGGGTAGCAGTGGCACAAGGTGCAGAGGAGGGCAGGGACATACGAGAGGGTCTGATGCGCTACCTGAATACATAAATAGTAATTGTATGGTATTGAACATAAATAAAAAAATAATGTTTCACATACATGTGTTTGTCAAATTATTTAAACCCAAGAAATGTTATCAGAATTGACTATTTAGTAAATATTTGAATTTCAAGCACCAGTATTTACTGCCCCATAAAAATAATAATCTAAGCAAATATCAAAGCAAACTATAAACATATACTTCCTGATCTCCAGCTCCCTCCTGAGCTGAAACTCTCGCTCACGCTCCTCCTTCTCCCACTGGAGACGAGCTAACCTCACTTTCAACCTGGCATCTAATTTAGAACCAGTATGAGAGGACTCACCCAACACAAGGGAGGCCATACTAAACAAACTAATTTGCAACTACTCGCCAGCTACCATTAAATCACCTCACTCAACAGGCAAATATATCTGATGCAACACAAAAATTGACTCGTCTTCCAAATAAAAACTTCCCCAGATCCTGCCTACCACACTTGCCTACCTATCTACTGGAGCGTGCCGGGCTCGAGGCGACTTTAAAGGCAAACATCAGCGGCCGAAACCCTGAAACGCCTGCCCCCAACAGGGACTAAATCCCCACCCAGGATTACCCCGAAAATAAAACAGGCAAAATAATAAAATGAGTGCCCGAAGGAAAGACTGATTCAGCCCAGCTAGACACTCCCCTATCTAAACTGAGGAAGCTGTTCAACAGTAAGATACTTCACAGCCAATGCTACACTTATATACACACACTACTGCTCACCACCAAACACAACCACACCAAACAACAAACAAATACTCACTCTTTGTCTCAAAGATCGGACGAGCCCCCATGTTACGTTCCCTACTGGGCTAGGGGAACCAGAGGGAAGTAACAACATATTAAATAACCGGGAGAGAGAAAAAAGGAGAGGAAACTGAGCTATAAAGCCACAAAGTGAGGTTCTAATGGATAAAGAAAAGGGCTCACCAGCCAACTTGCAAAGCAAACCAAAATAAACAATACACGAACAAACTGGAGCACATCTCCTAACACTTCACAAAAACACAGGCCTCACACAGAGACATGCTGCACACATGCAGCCAGAGGAGAAGGAGAGAGCGACTGCAGCCTTCCTCAGGTCCTATATGGAGGCCCTGATTGGAGATTGGGAGCACCTGGGGAGAGGCTGCACCTAGGGACAACCAGAGGGAGAGAGCGAGAGACACACAAACACTACGGCACGTAACACCCCCCCATAAAACACACGTTATACCGCTCACAAGCAGCCAACACCGGAGCAATACACACATCACTCGTTCAAAATTATTGAGTGAGTGATGTGTGTATTGCGCCATCATGCATGGTGGGGGTGTAGTTGATCCCCAATTTGGCATGTTGTTCAAAATTATTGAGTAACATGCCAAATTGGGGATCAACTACACCCCCACCATGCATGACGGCGCACTTCACCGACCCAGTTTCAGGTGCAGGGTCATAGTGGGGGGCGTGCCCTTCCCAGAAGCCAGGGGTTGGAGTGAGAAGGCAGCCCTCCGGCTGGCAGCAGAGGAAGCTGTAAAGGTATTTTATAAGTGCAGCGAGGTGAGCCAGGTTCAACACACATCACTCACCGAACACAGATCCACATCGCTCTGAGCCAGGTCCACAGCCACCACTTCAGAAACGGGAACACCCACAGCACTGTCACAGACGGACGCAGAACTTAACCGCAACCCACCACTCTGTCAGCATGATCACTGAACATGGCGGATGTGATATACAACCAAGAAGAAGCCTCGGACTCTCAGCCTCAGGCTCAGGCTCATCCTCAGATGCTCAATGAAGTTCAGAGGATGGTGCACCACAAGGAGGCCCAGTCCCACCTCAACACCTTGCTGGATGATAGAGAGGTGTTGAGGCAGACCATCGACGTCGTGAAACAGCGGATGGAGGCATATGGAGGCCACCAGCCACCTGCCAAGATCAGGCGGACCATCACCTTCATGATGCTGAACCAATTGTTGAACAACCTGGAAATGGAGATGGACCGCAGGAATGCCGTGATAGCCGGCATTCAGGAAACAGAAGAGCCGATTGATGGCATCACCACACTGGCGGGTGCCTAGTGTGCCATTGGGCTCCTCGTCTCTAAGCTGGTGTGTGCGAAGAGAGAACTAAAGCAGGCGAAGGAGAATGCGGAGATGGGGACCGTGGAAGCACCTCTGCCCAGCTGTCTGCCTGATGGGCAGAATCCAGTCTTGTGGCTTAATAATTTTGAACAACATGCCAAATTGGGGATCAACTACACCCACTACACCTAGCATGCATGACGGCGCACTTCACCGACCCAGTTTCAGGTGCAGGGTCATAGTGGGGGGCGTGCCCTTCCCAGAAGCCAGGGGTTGGAGTGAGAAGGCAGCCCGCCGGCTGGCAGCAGAGGAAGCTGTAAAGGTATTTTATAAGTGCAGCGAGGTGAGCCAGGTTCAACACACATCACTCACCGAACACAGATCCACATCGCTCTGAGCCAGGTCCACAGCCACCGCTTCAGAAACGGGAACACCCACAGCACTGTCACAGACGGACGCAGAACTTAACCGCAACTCACCACTCTGTCGCATTGCAAGTGGGTGCTGGTCTCTTGGCTTTTCCACAGACCGCTTGGAAGCTGCCACCTGCTTCTTCCGAGCTACACACTCTGCCACTAGATGACGAGGGTCAAGACAAAAGAAACACAATCTCTTTTTCTTGGGTCCTGGAAGAGAAACAGAATGAGCATGTGTGGCACGCCTGTTACAAGCTTTCCAGAAACCAACACGATGAGGAGAATCGCTCTGAGCCAAAACACCACTGTGCATTAGCACCAGCTCATCCGCCATGGTGGCAGCCTGCTGCAAGGAGGTTATTTTTCGTTCATTTAAAAACAACAGTATGTTCTGGGAGACAGTTTTTAAACTCCTCCAGCACTATGAGATCACAAACTGAAGTTAAGTCGTCAGCCTTTGATGCCTTACACCATCCGTTGAATAGCTTGCTCTTCTCCATTGCAAAGTCTACAAAAGTTTGGCCAGGTGTTTTCTTTAGGCCACGAAAACGCCGTCTATAAGCCTCAGGCTCAAGCTCATACACTTTAAGAATAGCGCATTTAACTTTTTCGTACACAATACAATCTTCAACAGGAAGAGAAGACCAAACCATCTGAGCCTTACCAACTACTAACTTGCACTGTAACAGTATGGCCCACACATCTTTGGGCCATTGCAAAGCAGCAGCAATGCGCTCAAACACAACAAAGTATGACTCAACTTCAGACTCACGAAATACTGGAACCAGCTGAATATTGTTACCAACATCAAAAGGAGCATCAGAACCTGACAATGGTTGTGTACCCGAAGAGGACCCCACTGAACCTGTCTGCAGCTCCAGCTGACGCATCCTGAAAGCTGCGTCTGCATCTAACTTCCTGATCTCCAGCTCCCTCCTGAGCTGAAACTCTCGCTCACGCTCCTCATTCTCCCACTGGAGACGAGCTAACCTCACTTTCAACCTGGCATCTAATTTAGAACCAGTATGAGAGGACTCACCCAACACAAAGGAGGCCATACTAAACACAAACTAATTTGCAACTACAATTAAATCACCTCACTCAACAACAGGCAAATATATCTGATGCTGCACAAAAATTGACTCTAGTCTTCCAAATAAAAACTTCCCCAGATCCTGCCTACCACACTTACCTACCTATCTACTGGAGCGTGCCGGGCTCGAGGCGACTTTAAAGGCAAACATCAGCGGCCGAAACCCTGAAACGCCTGCCCCCAACAGGGACTAAATCCCCACCCAGGATTACCCCGAAAATAAAACGGGCAAAATAATAAAATGAGTGCCCGAAGGAAAGACTGATTCAGCCCAGCTAGACACTCCCCTATCTAAACTGAGGAAGCTGTTCAACAGTAAGAGACTTCACAGCCAATGCTACACTTATATACACACACACACACACACACACACTACTGCTCACCACCAAACACAACCACACCAAACAACAAACAAATACTCACTCTTTGTCTCAAAGATCGGACGAGCCCCCATGTTACGTTCCCTACTGGGCTAGGGGAACCAGAGGGAAGTAACAACATATGAAATAACCGGGAGAGAGAAAAAAGGAGAGGAAACTGAGCTATAAAGCCACAAAGTGAGGTTCTAATGGATAAAGAAAAAGGGCTCACCAGCCAACTTGCAAAGCAAACCAAAATAAACAATACACGAACAAACTGGAGCACATCTCCTAACACTTCACAAAAACACAGGCCTCACACAGAGACATGCTGCACACATGCAGCCAGAGGAGAAGGAGAGAGCGACTGCAGCCTTCCTCAGGTCCTATATGGAGGTCCTGATTGGGGATTGGGAGCACCTGGGGAGTGAGAGAGACAAACACTACGGCACGTAACAGATAGCATAACACTTTTAGGTCAAATAATATGCCATCTTCACCCAACAGGGGGCGCACATGTACAGCAGGTGGTCTCTTTCTCCCACTCTCTTCTGCACCAGCTGCTCGGCTGCAGAGAAAAACTACAGCTGGAGTTTTGTGATGGTCACGTGATGATGTTGTCAGTATATTACTCCCAATGTTTCAGCGTGTTCGCTTCTATAGAGCACTGAGAGAGTGTGCATGGTGCAGTGTTTCCCTCTGCCTGCAGTCTGTTCTTCACATTTTAATGCATTGTTGAGTTCTTTGACAGCTGAAAAAACCTGGAGTTAAAGCAACAAGAAGCTACTTTTTGAGAGGAATTATGAGACACGTGGAGCTGTGATTTTGTTTACCAATTGACAGCTGACAAGGTGAGACAAAATGACTTTTGCAACTTCAGTTTATCGTGCTGAATTAACATAATCTGGCACATTTGTATCATGTGAAATGCATGAATCCTGCAGTGACTGCACCTGTTTGAACCTCAGCTGACTGTCACCTGTCATTCCTTTTAAATATATATTATGTTCCAGGGAGCACTTGAATTCAAAGCTCATATGCATATTAACATTTGTGCAAAGAACATAGTAAATAGGGACTTCATGAAGTGATTAAAGCTCTTTGTGTGAGTGTTAAAAGGTTAATGATATTTGCTAAGCAGCCGTTTAAATGCATGATTCATTGTGCTTTGACCTTTTTAAGATGGTTTGAATATGCATTGCAATTAAGCTCAATGGGAACAGTTAAAAGGCTGATGTAATGCATGTAATGTATTCTGGAGGACAGGAAATGCACTTTTAATGGAACTCATCCGCAGGAGAGTGTCGCTTTGTGTTTGAGCGGTCATGGGTGAACTATATCTGCCATAAATTAACCGAGCAAAATGGGTTAATGTTGCACACGGATGACTGAGCAATGATATAGGATGGTTGCATTATGTATAGAGATAGGTTGTGTTCCCACTAAGCTCCCTATACGTGTACAGAAGCTTCATGAAATCACCTTCAAGTGGGAAATAATGACATAATTAAACTTCAGATTAAGTTCAGGCACCGGTTGTGGAGCTCCTGAACAGGGTTATTGTGTGTTTGTGTGAGGAAACCCTGTGTGTATGTTTGCATTTGTGCACATATTAGATGCATAGTTTTGCTTTTTAATTAGTTGCATATGCTTTAGTTGTATGTCTTTCTTCTTTTTTCTTTCGTTTAACTATAAAACACATTTTGTTTCTTTTGCAATAAAATGTGATCTTGAAGTGTCTTTTTACTGCTTGCTCTGTTAAGTCATTTAAAACATCCCAATTCATACACTTCCAATATCTGTTCCTCCTGAGACCACACACGCTGGTTCGCTTGCAGACAATCAAGATGCTCAGTTGGGGGAAGGTCTCGTGACGTGATGATGCATGAAGAGATAATTGTGTCCTCTATAGCTGAGTGAATCTCAACTGTCTGCCTGTGGAGAGTCTCTCAATGTCTCATTTACCTTGGTTCAAAAGTCATACTCAACTTTGAGGTACTTGTACTTAAGTATTTCCATTTTATTTTGTTTAAGTTGATTAAAATCGTTTGAATAAGGTTTTAAGGCACACAGCTTCTTCTTCTTCATCTTCTTCTTCTTCTTCTTCTTCCCCTCCATCATGATCTGTTTATAGTGATTGGAAGGATCTCAAAGAAGGAAAGCCTCGAGTCATTTGAGGGTAGAAAGTGAAAATCCCCTTCCCATAAGGGTTCAGCCACATTAAATCCCCAGATTTGACCTCATCTCTTTAACACTGGGATCAACAGCTGATAATGTGCTTTAATGGATAATTTGGTGATCAATCAAATGCTAACCTGGATGAAGGGAAAATACGGAAAAAGTCATCAATGTCAAAGGTTATAACGACTCCTTGGAGTGTGCTCCTTTCACCAACTGTGAGCTTTGCTGTTCAAGCCTTTTTGTGATTTATGGTCAGTGTTGCTTTTCGTGGAGTCAGTTCTGAAAACGCTCCGGTAGAGTTCATATATTTGTTGTTTTGGGTAGTCTGGCACTTCAAACCTGACACATACCATGCATATTGCTGGAGGGATAAGTCATAAGTTTGTAGGCCAACCAGGAAGTTAGCAGCACCTTGGTTCCCTTGACAAAAGCCAATGGGATCTTTCCATTGAACAAAATGTAAAAATCTCTTGAGCTTGTGTTAACCACAGACCTTATTTCAGGCATCTAACAAAAAAAACTATTCAAAAACGCCACTGACGAAGAGACGAGGGAAGAAGAAGTACCAAATTGCTAACTCATTACTTGGTTTGAGGACTCATTCCCCAGCACTCTACTTTTATTCTAAAAGTCATTATTATTTAATCCAAAGTTCTAGAGATAGAGATGACTCTTTGCTTTCCCACCATCCTCTGTTGGCACTGACTAACAAATGAACTGAGTGTGTGATAAAACACTTGTACCCCTCCAAAGTCAGTGTAATTACAAGATAACTCACACACACACTCACACTCTGTAGACACAGTGACACACACAACACACACGGATAGTTCAGTGGGATCTCCTAGCAGCACTAATGTCTCCTGCCCAGCTTCAATCTAAATGTCAACCTGACCCCTCTCTCCCCTCCTGTGATGAGAAAGTCCAGACTGAGCGCTTTTTAACGACTTAATAAACACTCACAGATCACCCGCCGGGGCTTCTGGGAGTTTAACACCCCGCAGGCTCCTGACTGTGCAGCAGATTCAATTTTCCTCCTCAGAGACGTCTATGTCTGCATCTATTTGTTCTGCGATCCCTCTGACTTTATTCATACGTCGGCCATATTTGGTTTGCATCATGTGTAGCGTGGGAAACCAGAAGAGTAAATGTGCTTAGCTCAGAGTAAATACTTGGATATATGTCTGCAGCTGATCGCGATTCATTATCAGTTCAAGTGTTGAGGTATAACAAGTGAAATGCAATCTGCTTTTACGTAACAATTGAGTTATGTCATCGTAGGAGTGACAGAAACAGTAGCTCATCAATAGCAGCACCTGCTGGATGAAATGTCAACGTGTATTTAAGATGGATTTACTTCTCGTGGTGATAAGTGGCTTTTGAGACACATTCCTCTCCCAGGAGATGTTTTTATGAGATTTATGTGTAAGGTTACGAACGGAGGACATGTTGGAACCCTGCCATAACAATATCTGCCAAAGCCCTTCTCATTTATCACCTTGCGTAATTCATATGGGGTTAAAACCTGAGAGAGTTATGGTGCTGGAGCTACTTCTTTTTTGCGAGTCAAATGTCAGCCAACTGTGGGGAATTGTTTCAAGGTTACACTTTTATAAATGAAGCCCCAGGAGATTGACATTCTCAGAGGTGTACTTCAAATGGCGAGTGAGATATTTGTGTTCATATCGTGCCAAATGTTGGGTCTATAAGGATTATACTCTAGTGTTTATAGAAGAAGATTTATGAGCAGCATGTTTCAGTCGTATAGGTTTTACTATAATCACTACTTTTCAACTTGTAAATACCATTCACGTTCAAGTCGTATTAACAACTCAGAGTTTTCTGGACTAGCAATCGTGTAAAGTCCACAATTCAGGGTGTTCAAACCCAAATTCAATGGATATAGTGTCGCCCCTTCCACTTTTGCCCCATGACTGGTCTTTCCTTAATGCAAAATGTCTTTATGCCAATGTATTTCTAGCTTAAAGAAAAAATAAATCCAGCTAAAAGAAAAACAGGCGGACAGCAAAAACACAACCCCTGTCAAACTCTGTTGGTAGAGGAAACATATCTCATGACTCTGGTTAGACACAGCCACAATCCTCCCAATCCTCACACCACAAGGGTTACGCTCTGTTTGTTTAGCCTATGTGTGTGTGTTTGTGTGTGTGTGTTGTAGGGTGAAAAGTGCAACCCAGGCGGTCAAAGCTCTCATGACTGCTTCACCTGACTCACAGCACCAGAGGGCACCAATAGAAGAAACACACACACATTTGAACTTCCATAATTGTGAGGACTCTCACTGTAAAAAAAAAGGCATTTATTAAACCTTAATAAATGCGGCCTGTCCAAATCCATAGGTTGTTCAAACACCTGATTTCTGATCCATTGAATGTCATTTTTATATTCCTTAAACTGACTGATTAATATAACTTGATGTGTTGATTCCTGTGCCTTTATGAGACAAGTGGACCAAAACCATGCAAGGAGATTGTCCTCCACCCATATGAAAGCATCTACATGTGTTTGTTACTTCAGGATAGTAAGCGGTAAACAGTTTTGGTTGGTTGAGGAGAAAGTGTTTCATCATGTGTAATACTAACAGTGGATTGTGTGGTTTGTCTCCAGTCAGGAGGAGATGGAGAACAAGGCGATGTATCTGAGCACGTATGAAGAGAGAGAGAGTGGCTCCATGTATGAAGAGGCCTACGATGGACACAACTTGTCCAAGCTCAACCTGTGTGATGAAGGTAAGGACCACAGCGGAGATAAATGCACATTTCTTATCCAAGTAACAGACTTCTTTAATCCATCTTCATGGTAATAGAAGCAGGAGAGAAACACTAAATAAATGGATCACGCACAATAATCTGTCAAAGAAATATGTTGAACTTCAGATATCTTGCATTACAAATGAAAATCCGTCTTATTGACAGAATTTCATACACCCAGATTGATTTTCAAAGAGGGACTTTCTACAAAGACACACACACACACACACACACACACACACACACACACACACACTAATAACCAATACAGACACAAAAAAGAAGCAATGCAGTCACCGCTTGGCATTCGCTGTATACCTGCTATGATCAGCTTGGAATGTCCAGCAACATCTGCAAGTGTGTGTGTGTGTGTGTGTGTACAGGTGCAGCTGCAACATATCCACTCCTGACCCTGTGGTGTTCTCAGATTTCGACCCAGGGCTCTGTGAGTTTGGTGGGAAAGTCTTAGGAACAGAATTTGTTGACATTTTAGTGGAAGGAGAACAATGGCCACACACATCAGAGAGACTGTCCTCCTCCAACTTCTCTAATCCAAAAACTTTTCACACATCGTTCAATTAGAGAAGATATTCCCAACCATGCAGCTGCTCGTTTCGTTGAGGTGAAGTAGAACAGAGGAAAAAACAGTTGGGAAGTTTCTGTCAGTGTGCATTATGAGGTAAACACACTGTGAACAACGGTTCATTACACATTCAATTATTCACTTAAACGCACTAATAAGGTCCTCTCTATATCCCCTTATTACCTTAAACATTTAATCAAAAAGCTTATGTATTTCAGGCTCTTTCTGATTGGAATAAGTTACCGTTTTAATAAATGTTCTTCATCATTGTTGGGTTTATTTCAAAAAGTTTGACAGATAGCCCATGTTTTCAGTCATTTGGCTATTTAATGTTGTGCTGTTGTGTCTGCCATTTGTTGTCATGTTTGTCTGGGACCCCTCCATCTCAAGGGATTTATGAACTTCTAATTATGTGTAAAATACAGGCTTTATCCAGAAAAGAAATCAGATTTTATGGAGCAAATGTGGTCCTAATTTGACAAACTCTGGCATTAGGTATAATCAAGCCTCTTCACTGTGATTGGTCTCACTTGTTTAAAGTAGTTTAAACAGCACATTACCATTACCTTTAATGACGATATGTTAAAGTTCAAACATACACACATAGATAAGTGTATTTAAAGCATGTGTTGTTTTGTTTATGCTCACACACACGTCATGTCACCATCAACCGACAACAACAGAGACACTGATTTGTATGCACGTGCCCAGTACCATGTGCATTTGATTTGGAAAGTACAGTAATAGGATCTAAGTCCTTGTGAATTCACTAATGTCCCACAGTCAACAGTCAGAAGCAGTTCCAGGGCTGACTCACAATGACCCTGCAGGAAATAAACAGTTTCTAAACAGATTTGTGGCAAACTGTATTGTTGTTCCTCCAGTTTACTAATAAAATGAGCCTACAAATGTTGTAAACCCCACCTAATCCCTGTATTAAACCCACTGTCTCTTAAACACAACAATATGTTGACAACGTCATCCCAGCCAGATATGAGTCAGAGGGAACATTCAGCGGTGCAGAAATGATTAATGAATATTGACTTTTATCTCTCGTTTCAGTTGGGACAGCAGCAGAGCGTTACTTAAGAGTCTTTTTTAGAGAAGGTTGTTGGTAGAGAAACATTTCAACATATCAACAGAACATTTTGACAATGGATTCATTGTTTTTTTTAAGCAAAAAATACAAAATGTTTTTCCAATTCCCATATCAGCTGCTCCAATGTGAGTATTTACAGCTTCTATCTGATTTACTTCATTGTAAAATGAATATCTATGGATGTAAGACTGTGTGAAAAGAAGCAATTTGAAGATGTCACATCAGGCCTAGGGATTGTGATCAATTATTTCATTAACTTTTTTTATCACGTTTTGCCGAGTACATTTTCATCACTAAATAAAAAATAAATCAAATTCACTTTCTTTCCAAGGTCTTACATTGAGTTTAGGTAAGGTGGTTAAAAAACAATATGTGCAAATATTGTGTACACTTAATTGATATTTCTTTATGTAAGATAAAGTATAACATATGTTTGGCTGCTGCCCGTCCACAGCAGTACATCGCTTTGCTTTTATGATGTAACTTCTCTCTGTTTCTCCAAACTACGGGCATGGATAAGTACCTCACACAACCCCACTTCAAAACATCCAAACTACCCCTTTAAGGCACAGACACGACGGTGTTATCATGTCACTTTTACCAACCAACTCTTGGAATGACATCAAACAAGTCATGTTTACAGTCATGCAGCTTCTCATGCGAGTCGGAGAAAGAAAACATCATGAGACAGAAAATTATGTGATAATTTCCCCCTAAAGCTCTACACCGCTGGTTTTATATTCCTGCCTGTTTTTATGAAGGTGTGTGTGTGTCACGTATAGTTGTTTTGTCTCAGTTCAGCATGAGTTAAACTCTAGAGGCAAACTAGAGCAATTTCTGTTCCTATACATTCCTGTCATGTGACACATCTGAGCCAGCTGTGTTTGTCTTACGCCGGAGGAGTGTGTGTGTGTGTGTGTGTGTGTGTGTGTGTGTGTGTGTGTGTGTGTGTGTGTGTGTGTGTGTGTGTGTGTGTGTGTGTGTGTGTGTGTGTGTGTGTGTGTGTGTGTGTGTGTGTGGCTAGCTCCAATCCACCAGTGGCCACTGACTGATTGTCCCGGTCCAAATGAAATCATGCTGTTGGGAGGCCGCGCAGCAAAATCAGTGTTTAAATTCAGAACCAGGACTCGAGCCAACATCATGACTGTTCACAGGAAGATAGGATCTCATTAAAACCTTTTTAGTATCCCAGCGAGTTTAATATCTAACATACTGGTCATGTCACATAGGCATAATGATTTCCCAGAGACACATGGCTGTTCATTTGTCTCCGTTTGTTTTTCATCCATCCAGCTCATCTCAAGCAAAATGTAGTAGGTGGTAACTGAAAACTCTCAAAAACATTTAAAGGGGCCCTACAGTATAATGCTTTTGGGGATTCTCCCTTCCTGTAGTGTGTTGTATAGGTTTTTGTGCATGTAAATGGTCTGCAAAGGCAAAAATCCCAAAGTTCCCTCCAGATGGAGTTTCTCTTCCACACACTACATACAAATATGAACCTGAAAATAGCATAACAGGTCCCCTTTTAAATGTTACCCTATTTCAATAACATCAAAAATGTGTTGAAATTACATATCGAAGTATAACAATAATGAATAAAGTAGTGTTTTTGAGCAGTGGTGTGCAGAATGTCATTCATTTATTCTCTCAGCTTTATTGTTGAACTCTTGCATGCCTAAACCCAATAATTCTACTTATGGGAAAAGCACAGTGTAGTTAAATCATACTATTTTCTTGATCTGATTATTCTCTTTTGTGTTCATGCATGTAAACATAATCAATTTGTGATTATTTTCCTCTATTATTTCCCTTGAAACTGAGGCATGTAACATGTTGGTATAACAGCCAGATTAAATCTAATCTCCATTTAAGAATGTTTTCAATCACATGTTATTTTAATGTGGCATAACACACACACATTCATTTCTGTAACACTGCTGAGGATAATTTCTTAACAAACAATATTAAAAGTAACATGACATTGCTATTCCCATGACTGCTGAAAGATGTGACTCCAACAACGATCCTTTGAAAATCCTTTTGACCTGAGGGGAATGTTCCCTCGATAACAGCATAATCCCTGCCTCCTGCCAAGCTATCCCACACACACTCACACAAATAAAAAACACACTTGTTTTGCTCAACTTTGAATAGAAAAACACTTCCATCAAACATAAATAGTTGTCAAATGTATCAAGACTAATTCCCAAACATCTGTTGACCCTGAGAGGAGGTTTAAGTGGTGACATGAATTATAGTAATGGCTCCACTGAGAGGGTGTGTTCTTTTGTGAATTATGTTGAATTTATTTGAGCAATATCTGTGTGTGTTGCTTTCCCCAAATGCTTGCATCATTCCTCACCTCATTTGTATTTGACATAAGACCATAATAAGTCAGTAAACAAGTGTATTTGATATTGTCCCGTGCTTACATCTCATCAAGTGTACTTTCTCTTCAGTATGTTTTTAGTAAATAACATGATGGCGTGCACCACATTCATTTAATGTTTGATCTTCCTTTGTGTTCACACAGTACGTCATTGAAGGAGTAAATGTCAGGCTTTTCAAATAAAAGCTTTCTGAGGTTATTTGTTTTAGCTCCGACCTTTACTAACATTATTGCATGAAGAAACTAGAAAACACAAGCTTAGCCTTACACACAATGTCCCAGCCACCACTTAGAGAAATTGCTTTGTTTTGTAGCAGGCTAATCTTCAAACAACCTTATTAAACATGTTTATTCCAAAAGCCAACTTCCACTTGCTGTCCTTAAGAAAACCTGTCACCTCTATTTGGACTTTTTACCGACCCCAATTTCTTTGTTGTTTGTTTTGGTCAGGTTCTGGAAAGCGTCGCAGGAAGCAGGATCAGTGCTGTGCTCACCTGAACTCCCTCTCTGCCATCAAGTACGCCATCGTCTCCCTCTACATCCTGGTACTTCTCACCATCTTCGGACTCTGCTTGGCAGGTAGGGTGTGACCTGGTCCTCCATTAGCTGTATCTCTTTGACCATCACCAAACATTTTTTGATTTCCAGTGAACATTTAAAGGGGACCTATCATGCAAAATGCACTTTTTGATGTCTTGTATACATACATATGTGTCCCCGGTGTGTCGGGGAACTCACAAAGTGTCAGAAAACCAAACCCTCTCTCTTTTCCTCCGTACCCACATCTCTAAAAACAGGGGGAACAACGGAGCTGATCCAGATTTGCGTCCGATATGACGTAATATCGGGAATGTGGACCCACGGCACTATCAGAAATTTGCTATCAGAAACAATGCCCGACTGTTTTGGACGTAATATGGTCTTTGTTTACATTAGCAAGCATCGCTAACACTCAGAGCTAACCTGTACTGGAGAGAGTATGTGTCAAAAAGCAGGAAATAAAAAAAGGAACTCACCTTGTGATAAACGCGCAAGAGAAAAAGCATTTGAGCTCCATACTGTTTCAGAGAGAATCCTTGATGTGGTTTGGAACATGATGGCGTTTAATCACGGCAGCATTTAGCTGAGTATCTCGTAGAATTCTGCAGGCACAAGCTCCCCTTCCTCTTTTTCAAGCTAAGGACCCCGAATCAGCAGTTCTCAAACAGGGCTGAAATAGAAGGATATGAAGGATGTCTAACATGCATGATCTGTTTGGTATTTTCAGCAAAACACGTCATAGACCTGTTTTTATATATTTGTATATATCTGAGACCCATAATATATGCCTAAAAATAGCGCAATAGGAGACCTTTTAAGGAGTAGAGGAGCTCTGAAAATACAATAATTAATAGTTTCACGACTTCCTTAATGTGCATATTGGCCGTCTTTTGTTCTCAGAGTTCAGTTGTGCAGATGACATCAGCCATTCCTCAAGGTTGAATTGCAAACAAGGACACACACTTACACACATGACCCACTTATTCAATCCAAGGTTACACTCTTGGACGTGGTCTGAAACCTTACCCCCCTTTTTAAACTGTCTGTTATAGTTTAGCGTTGAGAACACACACACACACACACACACACACACACACACACACACACACACACACACACACACACACACACACACACACACACACACACACACACACACACACACACACACACACACACACACACACACACACACACACACACACACACACAATGAATAAACAATCATATGAAGCCTAACCTAAACTTCAGTCATGTAAAAGTGCTGTTGGTGATTTTATTGGCTTTCCTTAGTTGACATTTTTACTACTATAGCTGTTGAAATGTATGTAATATAACGTTTCAGGACCAGAAGTAGCACATATATCTGAATCTATTAAACGCAACTTCGTAGTAAATCGTGAAATAGTTTTTTTTGTAGTTTTTTACAACTGTTTTCTTTGCTTCCTGAGCGCTGTGTAAGTGTGATGGGTTTAAACGTATTTTCTAAATATATCACAGTATGTTTGAAGCATGACAAGCTTGACTTTTTAGAGGGTAACATAAAAGAGAGGGTAGCGATAAAGCGCGACGGTTCCATTTTTCTTTGTGCTGGATAGTTCCCATACCTCCTTAATGCATGGCTGTGGGAGTACCAGGTTTCAGTCTGCAGAGGAGTGCACTTTACATGTACACACAAAGGCTTTTAAGAGTGAGGAAAAAAGACCATTACCTTTGGCCTGATTCAAGAGTTGGCATCACAGCTGATTTTCTGCGAGATGAAAGCCATGATAATGTGGTTCAGACTTAAAAGTTTGTGCGGTTCATTTCACTGTTCAGCATTTCTTGACTGTAAGTCGAAAACTGCCAAAGAAGAACAGGAAGTACGGTTTAATGCTTGAATGAAACTCAGTTTGATGATTGGATTTAGCATTTTAGCGTACAACCTGAAGGCATTTGGCCCACATTTTATGCATTTTGGGTTGTGACCAGTTTAAACTCTCCAATGGTAGCGTATTCACCATCATGACAGACTCACAGTTTAGGCCAAAGACTCCACAGTGTCATTGATGTTATAATCGTTCTTATGGTACCCTAAGTACCAAACTTAATCATTGCATTTTTACCTAATACTTAGAAGAAATACTTGCAGATGTACAGTATATCAAATCAAATCAAATCAAGTTTTATTTATAAAGCACATTTAAAAGCGATTTTTGGTCGAGCCAAAGTGCTGTACATGTAATAAAAACACATTACTACAATATGCATTACATACCACATTTAGAATATACAAAATTAGCCCAATAATGGCCCTATCCAACAGACATGGGACATTGGAAACTACTTTTTCTGAGCCACAGGAGCAATGATTGCTCTTGTGCACAAATGGCAAAGTCAATGGCATATGATCTGGCCTTTAACCACTGTTCAAGATGATATGACTTATTATCTGTTTGTGGTTGTCACTGTTTGTCCATTGAATCTAATATTTCATTACATTACATGTCACTTGTTAGACGCTTTTATCCAAAGCGACTTACATACTCAATACTGTGGGCAATCCCCACAGGAGCAATTTGGGGTGAAGTGTCTTGCCCAGGGACACAACGACATGCTGACTGCAGTGGGGTTTGAACCTGTGACCCCCTGATCCCAACACCAAGGCTCTATCCACTGCGCCACACGCCTCAATCTATCAATTTCAATGCGCTAATTACACAAAAGATTGGTTGAGCTTGTAGCTGTTTCTAAATAAAATTTGATTTGTTTTTGACATCGGAAGAAACTGTCTTAATTAAAGGTCCTCTTGCGTCCTCTGGAAATACTTGTTCTTTTCATGACCTTATGTTTAAGTTACAGTATATGCTGTTGAAGAGTGACAATTGAGATGTAAAATGGGAAAAACAACTAGTTGACTTTGTTTAAAACTTGGGAATTGAGACAAAAAGTTGCATCTTTTAGCTTTGAATGACTAATTCCTTAATTAGGGGCCACTCACTGGTACATTATGTAATACAGGAGGGAGATAAGTAATCCACTTAACCGTTAAAACATTTTCCTGAGCGGTAAGAAGAGAAAAAGAACCACCAAGTCCCAAACAACACGTACAACTTCCAAGTCTTTGAAACATAACATGCCTCACTGGTTGGCACCCAAAAAGTGGAACAGTAATGTGGAAACGTAGACTTGTGACCTATGGAAATTAGCATTAGCTTTTATTATGTAATTTCATTTGGTGTGTGACACAGTGGCGTAAGACATTCCAGCGTCTTCAGAGCTTGTAGTTCCTCCTCCTGGTTCATTTGGAAAAACCCTGGAGTGATGCCGGAGTAGCGTCATGGCCAAACCGTGTGTGTGTGTGTGTGTGTGTGTGTGTGTGTGTGTGTGTGTGTGTGTGTGTGTGTGTGTGTGTGTGTGTGTGTGTGTGTGTGTGTGTGTGTGTGTGTGTGTGTGTGTGTGTGTGTGTGTGTGTGTGTGTGTGTGTGTGTGTGTGTGTGTGTGTGTGTGTGTGTGTGTGTGTGTGTGTGTGTGTGTGTGTGTGTGTGTGTGTGTGTGTGTGTGTGTGTGTGTGTGTGTGGAGATGCTGATAGAGGTGGAGGGAAAGAAAGAAGCCGTACAGAACAATTAAGGACGGTTAGATAGAAAATGAGCGACCCAGTAACATGTTGAGAAGATGTCTGGCTTCCCACCAGCAGGATCCTGGAGGAATCAACTGCTCTCACTAATCCTAATTTCATTTCAAGACTCTCTTGTCTCCGAGCCTCCCACTCTGTAACCACACGTCTGATGCCAGTGTTCCCAGGCACAGAGATGTAGTAAGAGTTTGGAACGGCTTCAACGTCGTCACAGAGGTATTTGGTTATTTAGGGCTTTTAGATGAGGTTGTTTAAGAAAAGCAATCAGACCGGGCTTTTCAACTGGCCTCTCCTAAAGTAAATGCCGGCCATCCAAAAGCTAAGTGGCTCCAGTGTAACTGCATGGGAGGCCCCTTTGCTGCTCACACACACACAGTGCATGCACACACACACTCACAGCGCCTGCCAGTTTTCCGATGTGAACACAGGTTCAACTCTGTGTTATCCACATTTGCTTTTTGTTTGAATTCTCACTTGACCTTTAGTTTTTTCCAGCTCTTTTTTCCAGCTCTTACATTGCTTCTTTTGGGTTTCTCCCAAATCCATGGCTTGCCCAATGCACTCAAACATCCATATTTCACAGGTAGGAGCCTCATACCTATAATATAGTGTTTTCTGTCAGTGCATTTGATCCTAAATCTTTGTTTTGGACAGATAAAAGAGGGAGAGTAATAAACAAAGGCAGAGAAAGATGAAACCAAGATGACAGAAGATGAAAAAGCCAGATGAATCCTGCTCCTTTCATCAGGCGTTTAAGAGCTGGCTTATCAGTACATTACTTCTACAAGCTTATCTGAATGCAGATAGGACAGAGCTCACAAGACTTGTCCCATGACAGCCAGTGTCAAAGCCTTGAGCCAAAACATAGACCATTATCTTCTCAGAGGCGCCTACTGTGGAAACTCTTGTCTCTGTAGTCACTTGTTTTGACTGACGCAGCTCAAGAGGAGGGCCGTTAATAAAGACATGTTTGGTCTTTTTCGCAGTACAGCGACACTAGAGAACTGTGCATGTTGACCGGGGAAAAGGGGGGGCATGATGTAACTTTTGAAGGCTTTACCTCCCAGAAACCCTATGGGCTGACCTCAGTTGGTACATTGGTGAGAACCGTTTTACTTCTGCTGCTGTTTACACTTACAGACTGAGAACAGCTGGCTCTCTCTTAACCTCTCATGAACCGCCTTAAATGTGCGCTTCGTATGTCATTTACACGCGCAGGCCTGATTTAGCAATTATAGCCTACACCGAGAAGTTTATGTTTTCACTTTATTTGTGTGACTCTAACTGTTTGTCAGCTTGATTATGGAAGAAAAACTGACCCGCTTTTCATCAAACTTGGTGAGTTTTGAAATAACTACATAACATTGAAAGTCATGTTAAAATTGAAATTGAACACAATTCGACACTTCAAATAACAGAGTA